ACCAAGCCGTGTTGGCCCCGAGGCCACGGCATAATGTTGTTTACACTAACAATTATCATTCTCATTTATCCTCTTTCTTATACAATAAGACCTTAGGGTCTTACCATTTGATCTCAGAGGCCTTATCATTTGGTATCAGAGTGACGATAAGACTTTAGGGTCTTATCATACCCTAGCTAGAGATTTGTTTGAGCAAGAACACATGTAATATTCCTCTTATAATACTGAGAGCGGATGACCCTCTATCGACACTCAATAGTATTTGTAAAGTTGGTTGCCACTCCCAATGATCGATTGTGCTAGATCTGGAACTTCCAAACTTATAAGTTTAGTATCAAAGAGTGAAATACTCATACAGGATATCATTGGTGTCTCAGGTGAACTCATTCTTCAATAAGTACCTACACAGTACCTCTAGTGTTCCTACACGAGTGACTATGAGACCAACCGCCTCCATCATATGGACGAGTATATAATGCACCAATTTATCCAGTTATCTCAATGTTCTTCTCGAGTAACATATGACCGAGATGATTTAGAGTCTATGTTTAAAGGCGAATCGATCACATTATCATGATCTCATCACGATCCGATTCCCATTGCACATATTCAAATAATATGTGATAAAATACCAGTAATAATAAGCAAAGAGATTGTCACATCGTATTACAAGTGTCATCACTCATCTGATTGGCTTGCAAGATATCTATAACTAATAACTTTTTATTAGCTAATAATCAGATTCATAATATATTTTACCTAATTAAATAGGATCACATAATCTAATAAGAATAAATCTAGAAATAATATCATAAGACATATACTGACAAAACTAGGCTAATATAGCCAGAGTCATCGAAGCAAGCGAGCCTAATAAAACTCATTTTGAGCCCCATCACAATCAAATTTGACCTCGACGGCTTTGAAACATCAACCTATCATCCATTTTTTTCTAGTATGTCATTCAATATTTTTATACATTATTTTATCTTCCAGTGTGTTGATTTATTCTCCTTTAGTATGATATTAGATTCTTCAACACAACACTCGATCCTCCATCGTAATATCTGACCTTTGATATTAAGACATTATGTATAATCTTTTCATGGTACATACCCTTAGTTAAGATACACATGTATCACATAACTTGTGATAGAATTAATTTTTTAAATTTATTAAAATACGAGATTCAAACGTTACCATCCACACCAACGGCTAAACAAATGGAAAGTTTGACAGAAAGAACTAAAGAAGTCGAAAAGTAAAACTCAAATAGATAAAAAGGAAATAATGTAGATGAATAGTAGAAAATAGGGTACCGAATTAAAAGTTACCACGTGGCAACATCCCAACATTGACACCAAATGGCGACAACAGAACGACGCACCGTATGACCTCGACAGGCGTACACACATGCCTGCAATGGGCGCCAAAGAGCGTGAGTCTCGTCCAATATGCACAAGATGATGACATCCAATAGAGATAAGAGTGTTTAGGAAATTTTATTATAAAAACTATAACCACGTCAAAATGTAAAAAATAATAATTTATTTATAAAAATTTGATGAATAACTATTATTTAACTTAAGTATTCGAGGCCGAAGAAATTGAATCGCAAGAAATTGTTTTAGAGTCGAGGTTGGATACAGGAAAACCCTGTTTTGGAGTTAATTACTATGAAATCCTACTTTATTCTCACGTTCCAAGTAGAAACAATTACATCGGTTCACATAGTTAGACGTGTCTTGAAACTCCAAGTGTAAAATATATTTTTATCCGTGATTTAGTCATATCAAATTAATAAATTAGTTACTGCATCAATCAGATCATATCATGATATCGAGTCTAATAAGAGACAAAAATTTTAGAGTTTGCTCGTTTGTCCCATGGGATTGGATGGAATCCTCAGAAATGATATCACAATAGATTTAATATATTGACTATGGCGAAAGGTCAAAGTTGAGAAATAAAATTGCAGCAGTTGGAGCTTCAATCCAAAATCTTTAAGTCCTATTCCAAGAAACTTTAAGTCGAACTTAAATTTAGTGGTTAGAGTGCCTAATCCAACTCGATATCAATGGAGAGGCTGACTTGTAGAACCAAACCTCAACTTGATTATAACCTTATCTAATCCCTATATATATATATATATTTTAAAGTCCAACACTAGGTATGTGTTAGTTCATAACTAGCTTACTTCGAGACCTCAAAATCCAACTCATTTAGATCATCTAACGTTATCATTGTTAAGACGTCGCATCCACGATCAAAATTCAAATCCCATTATTAGTAGACATGGTTTTATCGAAATAAATTGAGTGAAAAATAATTAAAAGTACTCATTTGAATTCCCCAAAACACAACTCGAATGACTAATTTGGTTGCCATGGTTCGAATCCAAATCAATGCATAACCCATCTGATTCGTAGCCTTTAGACATGGGCCCCAACGATGTGCTATATCCGCTGAACACGGCCGCCGGACCCACGTGCAAAAGGAAGTCCACGCGTCACGTTCAAAGACAATCAAGGTGGACGTGAGTGCCGTTTCGCATGGCACAGCGGATCGGACACCCTCTCCCAACAGAAAACCCTAATTTTGAAATTTGCGTCGTGGCCATGGCGATGGGACCCACATGGCAAAAGAGGTCCACCAGTGGCGTGGAAGGAGCATCAAAGCGTATGCTGCGTTGGGTAGTACAGCGGATCGGACCTCCCTCTTCTCCTTCCCGAACGAAACCCTAATGTGCATCAGTAAAACGACGACATTCTCCCCCGGTTCATGGCAAGCCCGTAATTATTTACCGACGCAATGTTGTTAACCAACCCCGTCCATGTCGTAAGTTATGTCAAGCGAACACCACACACAAACACAAACACACACACACACACACACACACACACACACTCTCTCTCTCTCTCCTCCCC